TCCACTGATGAAGCCATCTTCCTCTGGACCTACCTGCCACCCCGGAACTGCCCTTAGACCAGGGCTACTCGGGCACCTGCCCTGGATCCTATACTCTGGGGGGCCCCGCTCTGGCCCCTCCCTGTGGGGCGAGGAGTCAGTAGGGTCAAGGGGACATGTCCTTGGAGCCCATACCGCCCGCTTCTAGACCCTACTCCAGAATTCCCTGCCTCAAAGGCCCTGAGCCCACGTCCAGGGCTTTTTCCCTGGTCAGTCCTCCTGCGGGCAGCTCAAGCTGGGGATGCACATCCATGAGTCGGGGGAGGCTAAGGGACGGCTGCTGGTGGGTAAGGACGAGGGTGGGTAAGGCGGATGGAGCTTTGGGGGCTCAGGCTGTGAGTGGGGAGCTGGCGGGTAGAGAAGGGGTGGGCTGTGGTGGGGGTGGGAGCTCCACTTGTCCTCGCAGTGGCAGGCCGCTGACGCCTCAACCCCCAAACGTATGGAGCACCCTCGCCCCATGACCCCTCGCCCTAGCATCACCCCCGTGCATCAGTCCAAAGCCATTCGTGACTGCCTTTCTTGGCTCACCCTAAGGGGCTCAAATCCCAGTTAAGCTGAGCTCCCGGGAGGCAGAGAGACAGAGGGAGGGTCCGGAGTAGGTGGGGCTTCCTGCCCGAGCCAGGGCCAGGCCTGTCTGACTCAGAGGGTGGGGTGACTCAGGCAGCTCTCACCGCCCTGGCACCCCTGGGGACCTGCCTGGCCAGTTTTCCCATATTTGCCACACTGGCATTTAATTTTTAATTCCTCAATGCATCACCCTGGAGATGGTTTGATTCAGGCTGGGGAGGGCAGGCAGGAGCCCCAGAGAAAAGCACAACCCTCCTACCCACCGTCTATCAGCTCAGCTCTAAGAAGCAGAGGGACAGGCTCTGGCTTGAACTCTGGTCCCGGTTTCCACTTGGAAGTGGAAAAAGGATCGTTGCTCACGGAGCCCAGGCCTCCGGTGGTATGGACAGGGCTGGCCCGGGGAGTAGGCCTGGTCTTGTCTCTGCTTCTGTTGAGCTGTGTGCCCGTCCCCTCCCTGGGCCTCAGTTTCCTCATCTCGATGACCGCTGTGGTCCTTCCCAGCTCTGACTTGGTGGTTCTCCTCCAGCTCCTCAGGGCTCCCCAGTAGGAAGGTGCGGCGGCCCCGGTGCTGGAATGCCTCCCTTGGCAGAGGCAGAAGCAGAGCTCGAGGAGGGGTCGGGGGCCTGGCTTCTTCGGGGATCCTCCAGGGAGCTGACCACGCCTCCTGCCCTTCCATTAGGGAGTCATTTTAACCCAGAAAGTCACGGCTGGGGAGACCCTTGGCGACCATCCAGTGTGACCCCCACTGATGGACGAGGAGCCTGAGGCCCATGGGGAGGAAGGGCTTGGCCCTCAGCTACCCCACAGCCCGGTGGCAGAGCTGGGACTGGTGCCAGCTACGCAAGGAGCAATCCCAGGTCCCGGCCCGGCCACTGAGGGATCCTGGGGTCCTCTTCACAGCTGGCCTTTGGCCCCTGGGCGCCTGAGGAAGCGTTTCTTAATCCTCAGCACCTTCAGCACCAGCAGAGTGAGGGCGCTGCAGCGACGGGGCAGAAGCGCCTGTCTTTGCCCTCCCCCTCCTCATCTTGTCCCCTCCTCTCAAACCCCGTCCCCTGCCAGGCTCGTGTAGGGCACTGACAGGGAGGGTACGTTCAGAACATGGCCCAGGCCCAGATGGAGCCCAAAGTCCCTTGCGGGAACTGTCATCTGGCTTCTGGGGCGCTGCCGCCTCACGCCTCCCCTGCCCCCAGGCAGCCTGACCTGGGAGGGGCCCTCTGAATGCGGGAAGAGAGGACAAGGAGAGGCAGGGCCTGGCCAGCTAGGACAGTATCAGGCAGGGCTCAGGCATCAGCCCAGCTCCGCACGCACCCCAGCGGCTGGGCTGGGGGACAGGGTGTGTGCGTGTGAACCCACACCCACACAGAGCTCTGTCCTCCCTCTTCTCCCCGTTCACTGCCCCCTGCCCCTGCTGGAAGGAAGCAAAGGACCCGGCCCAGAGCCCAGGGGAGAGGAGCCAGGTGGTCAGCAGGAGAGAATCAGGCTGCTGGCTTGATTCTGCCCACCCAGGAGCTGGTGACGAATGATGCTGGGGCTACTCTGTACCTTGTAACCTGAATTAGCAGCATAGAACCGTCCCCGAGATATGGGCCATCAGGCCAAGGGTTCCTAATCTAAAGGTACTTCATGGATGGGCTCCTGGGGGTTCGAGAGTCCTTTGCCGAAATTGTGCAAAACCACATGTATGTGGCCGAGGTCTCATCATGGTCTCAAAGGGGTCTGTGATCTAAAAGAGGCAAGAGACCTCCTGCCTGGGAGGCCCTGCTGCCAGACGGGGATTCAGACAGGCACACAGGGGAGGAGGAAGTCATTCTGCTGGCTGGTCCAGGGAGGGGAAGAGAAAACCTTCTGGGTAGTGGAGACGGTAGGATGGCCTGAATAGAACTGGGAGCCTGGAGCCAGGTCGCAGGGCTCAAAGCCTGGCTCTGCCACTTACAAGTTGTGTGGCCTTAAGCAAGATACGCCTGCGCTCTGCGCATCGGTTTCTCCCTGTGCGGAAGGGGGATGGATGTGGCTCTGTTAGCACATGAGATCCACCTGGAAGGGTGCCTGGCGCACGGTGGGAGCTGTGCCACTGGAGGGGACCGGCAAGCGGCTCCCCCCGCCTCTCCTCGGTCAGCCAGTTCTGGCCTCTGTAATGCGAGGCTGGTGTGGACCTGACCAGGCCCCTCTCAGCTGATGGCTCACCATGTGTCCATTCCCCGGCTGTCACCAGTGAGGGGGCCACAGTGTGTTGGGGAAAGGCCCCCATCTCCTGGGACTGGCTCTGAGGCCCGTCTAGAAGGACTGCTCCCAGGAGGCATTTCCCGAGGAGGGCCCAGAACTCCAGCCTGACCAGCCAGCCGGCCCACACCAGGGGCCCCTGAGTCTTCTGCCAGGCCCGCCCGGGGTCTGTGCAGCTCCAGATCCCGTTCTGAGCAAGCCCGAGGGGACAGGATGAGAGCAGAAAGGCTAGGACTTGCCCTGGTCTTTGAGGAGCCCCCAGTGGGTGGCTGGGTGGAGATATAGGATACCTGCCCATTAGGATAAACTCAGCTGTGCCCACATTAACCCTTTAGTTGCTGCCTTTTGGGGTGGTCCAGATCTGGGGGAGGGGCCAGGACAGCAGGAGCCACTCAGAGGCAACAGCAAGTTCTACTCTGTAGGTTTTGTATTTCAATATTTTAGCAACCAGCACAGGTACAGGTGTGTCAACTCTGGGCTCATACCACTGTGATTTTGAATATATGTTTTGGGGGTAGGTAAGGGGAAATAGAATATCTCAAAATTATCTCATCTGCCTTTATGGGTGCAATGACCCCCATAATAGTTATATATATCTCTGGAAACAAAGTTAGGGGCTGACTTATTTGTTTCATACCTTTTTGTTGTTGGTGTTGTACTTTCTATATTTATTGGTAATGTCCATGAATTGCTTTTATGAGTAGAAAATAAATTATTTAAAGTTATATTCCTAGAGATCTGTGTGCTCAGCCCTCCACACAGAGGCGTTGGAGATGCCACAGGAGAATGTAAAACACTACCCGACCCATCTAGAATCTTGGGGTCTGCTTGGTGAGGTTGGGCAAATCCGAAAACATCGGTGATGGAGAGCGGGAGGTGGTTGTGCCAGGCAGTGCTGGGCAGCGTGTGTGGGTACCCAGGACCAAGGTGTGGTGCCATGAGGTCTAACAGGCCCCGAGGGCTCAGACCAGGACTAGGAGCCTTGCCCGTCTAGGCAGCACAAACCCTCATGGAAGTCTGACGATGCGGTGACCCCAATGACAGTGTCGTCTTACCCAGGGCCCAGGTCTGATAGTGAGGAGTGAGCCTAGACTCTGGGAAGCTGGCTGTTTAGACTCTAGATCTCGGCTGTCCCGTACAGCAGCCACTGGCCCCAAGTGGCTTTCGAATGCTTAAAATGTCAGAAGTGGGATGTGCTACGTGTGTAGTATACCAGATTTTGAAGACTTAGTGTAAAAAAAAGAATGTAAATATCTCATTACTATTTTTTTCTGATTGCTGTTTTTATACTAAATGTTGAAATGATAATCTTTTGACTATAGTGGGGTAAGTAAGATATATTATTAAATTTATTTTACATTTTCTTTTTATTTTTAATGTAGCTACCAGAAAATCTTAAATTACATATAAGGATTACATTATATCTCTGTTGGTCAGCACTGATGTAGAATGTCCCAGAAAACCCAGGAATTCTCATCGCAGAAAGCAGAACCAGTCATAGAGTAGTTAGTTGTTTTGGTCTTTCTCCCTTGTCAAAGAATTATAGCCCAACCACAGCCTCTAGAGGGGAGTTTTAGTTTCCTGTAGTTTTGGACCCATAAAGAGATCCGTCCCAAATGCCTCCTCCCAAGGGTCAGTGCTATTTGTCTTACGAGGCAGCTCAGGTGTCCCCTCTTCCAGGAAGCCCTCCTTGACTACCCATTAAGGCTGGATGGGCTGTCCCTGCTCTGGCCTGTGTTCTAACAGTCTAGTTGCTCATTCCTGCAGTGGGCGGGGGGCTCCTTGGGAGCTGCAGCAACTGGCTCAGTCATCTCTGCATCCCAGCACCTAACGCAGGCCTTGGCACGAAGCAGACAGCCATCAGCGATCGTGGAAAATGAACTTATTTAACTGGATGTACCCACCGCTGTGTCACCTCTGCACACAACTTCTCCATAGCCTCTCCTAAGGGTTTCAGCCACAGAGGAGCTGCCAGCCCTAATCCCAGACTTCCTCCCATGAGCCTTGGCCATGCCTCCTTCCTGTAGCCGCCCTGGGTTGGCATCAGGAAGGAAGGGAATGGACAGAGGGTGACGTCCACTCAGGCCAGGGCAGGTGGGGCTGCTTCCTCTGTGGCAGGCGAGGTGTCCCCACCCAGAGAAGACCCTCAGAGCCCAGAGCAGAACCGTACTCACCAGCGGAAGGAAGGTCAGCAGGGGCCGGACTCGGGGCCGAGCTTTCAGCGTGGCTGTTCCTGACTCGCTCACCGTGTTAAAGCGATTGTCTCCATAGTAGATCCCATCTAGAGGACACAAGGGAGGGGAGACCATGAGCTGGAGATCGAGGGCGGCCGGCCAGCCGAGTCTAGTCTGCCCTTCAGTTCCCAATGAGGAAACCCAGCGTTGCCCCGTTTGACTGAGCTAAGCACCTCTCATGTAATCAGATCCTACGGATGGGGTGTGTGCTAACGGACCCGCTGCAGTGGCATCATGGGAGGGAGTCGGTGTTTCTGGGGCTTTCAGACCCCAGCAGCCATTTCTCTCCTCCTCACTCCCCACTTCCAAGTCCAGAGCCTTCTCTCCCACAGCAAGTCGTCACTCCTGTTGGGGCCCTGGGAGCTTGGCCAAGGCCCCAGCCAAAGCTTATCTCTGAGAGAGGGAGGAAAACAAACCGGCTCTTCTTTCAAGTGTTTGCATTGCTAATCTGAAACAAGCAGAGTGCCCCCAGTGGTCCATACCCCATCTTCTGGACTCCTCAATTCAAGACTTCTCTGGCCACCAAGCCACCCACGGTTGTGTGCATGGCTTTGTTTGATGCACCCTTGAGAGCGGAGCAGAAAGAGTGGGGCAGTAGGGTCAGTGTAACCTAGTTACAATCCCAGCTCTACCACTGAGAGCTGAATCTCTTTGGGCCTCAGTTTTCCCATCTGTATGATGGGAATGATGATAGTGCCTTATAGGACTGTTGTGAGGAGCAAGTGTGGCCAGCACATAGTAAGTGCTCAACAAACATGGCTCCTTCCCCTGGAAGAAGATGATATGAAGGACCTTCCTCTTCCTCCAGTTTTTGGGCTGCTCTACCACAGGGGGGAGGTGTGAGGAGCCATTCGCCCTTTCTCAACTCTGTCAGGATCCTTGATACGCATTGATAAGAATTTCACATTCCCTTGGCAGGGATCTCTGTGGGCCTCCTGCTGTGTGGGTCGTGAGCAGGGAGGGCTTTCAGCCACTTAACAGGGGGTGAGGGACTTTCTCCTCCTCTATAGCCAGAGAGGAAAGAGAAGAAAAGTCAAAATTCCAATTGGCCAGAGTCCTACTAACTGGAACGGTGAAGTAATCGTGATTACTTTTCCCCTAGCAAGTGACTTTAGGAATAAATTGCAAAAAAAGCCGAATGATTTATTCACAAGAGACTGGCTTGTCAGGAAGTTCCTGGGATCAGAACACATCCATCCCAAATTCTTACACCTTTGCCACAGCCCTCCAGGTGGGGATCTAGGCTTTGGCTGTGACAGGGAGGCTCCTGGGAGTGTCCCAGCAACTGCAGGCGGAGTCCTTTGTGTGCTGCTCTCCCAAGGCAGAAAGTTGGCTGGGACATTCAAGATTTTCCACCTCTCAGAAAGGGGCCCAAACGGCGGGTTCTCTGTGTGCTCCACGTGTCCCCGGGAACTCCAGTTCCTAGCAGTGCCCTGCCCCGTGCATTCTGGACAAACATGATTGCCCAGTCCTGGTTGCCAGCTCCATGCCTGGGGCTGCAGGGCACCGATTGGACGGGGGCACGAGGGACGGGAGCTGTAAGAGTGCAGATTTGGCGCAATCAGAAACAGCAGAAGTAGCACACACCCAGCAGCCACCACTAAAGCCCTCCGATTCCCTTACTTCCAAGAGTCTGCGTGTTGACGGCAGGATCTCCTGGGACATTCTCCAGCCAGCACTGTGTGGATGCCAAGGCCCTAGATCTGATGTGATCTGGCTACCTGGGCCCTTAATGGGACTGGGGGTGGGGTGGGGATTACCACAGGGACTGGGTGAGAGCCACGCTCCTAGGCAGACGCTCTAATTATTTTATTTAATCTCTGCACCAGTGCTGGGGTTTAGGGAACCGCCTTTCCACAGTTGAGTTGCGGTCATATTAATGGCCACTATTATTGTATGCCTAGGAGCTTTAGAAGTGTGATAGCTGAGTGACCTGGCAAGGGTGATTACTGTCAGGGTAATAATAATAAAAGGTAAAACTTACTGAGCACTTTTAAGGGCACTGTTCTAAGCATCTTACACGTTATTAATTCATTCAGTTCTCTAAACGGCCCCATGCGAATTGGTATGGTCATTATTGACAGATGAGGAAACTGAGCCACGAGAAGGTCAAATAACTTGCCCGGAGCCTCTCTGTGAGTGTTGAAGCCAGGGTCTTCTGGAAGGGCCACTCTAAGCCACTGCACACCTTACCCCGCAAAGGGAAGAATCATCACCCCACCATTTACAGGACTCAGGCGGAGGATGGGGCGTGAAGGGCGGGGGTGCTGTTTGGGGTAGGGAAGGCTCTGCTCTGGCCAAGGAGCGGTGCTGGGCAGTGGCGGGAGGGGAAGCAGCTTGCCCAAAGCCATGCTGGTCACGACAGGGCCAGATCTGAGCTGTGGCCGTCTGACCCCCAAGCCGGCGTTCTAACCACCTCACAGATCCATGAGTCAGCCCTGACTCCCAGGCACTGTCGTTTTGTTTGGCTTGTGGTTGTTTTAAGCAGGGGAACCTTTCTAAGAATACAATTGTTCACTATAAAACATGTAGAAGGGAGTAGCTGTGGTCAGCAGGGGTGGAAGCCCAGGTGGCTTCCCTCCCCACGGGGCACCTCTGGGAAGTCCAGTTTGGTTTCCCAGTGCTAAGACGTGTGTCTAGGAATCGGGGACAGCAATGTGACGACGGAAGCAGAGTCAGAGCGATGTGATGTGAGAAGGCCTCCACCCAGCAGCCACGGTGGGCTTTGAAGATGGAAGGGGCTGCCAACCAAGGAATGCAGGCAGCCTCTAGAAGCTGGAAAAGGCGAGGAAATAGGTTCTCCGCGGGAACCTCCAGAAAGGAACAAAGTCTTGCCAACATCTTAATTTAGTCTGTTTAGCCTGCGCCAGAGTTCTGACCTACGGAGTTGTAAGAGAATAAATTTGTGTTGTTTTAAGCTGAAAGAAAGAAGGAGAAAGAAAGGAAGGGAGGAAGGGAGGAAGGAAGGGAGGAAGGAAGGGAGGGAAAAGAAAGAAAAGAAAAGAAAAGGAAGAAAGAAAAGAAAGAAAAGGAGAGGAGGTGTGGCTAGAACCTGGCAGACTCTCCTGGCACACCATTAGGCGAGGTGTGCGTGGCCACCCCGATAAGCTAGGTCCTCCAAGGGCTCAAGGTCGGGGCTGGGGCTTTCCCAGCCTCAAGGTCAAGGCCCAAAACAAGCAGAAGGACAATAGAGTGCAACCGTGGGGAGTTTCCTGTGGCAGTGATGAGCTCTGCTCAGATTTCAGTGTCGGGGATGATACAGAATGGGCCTCCTGAGGGGCAGCCCCCTCCGCAATCGAGGAGATGAGGGCTAGGAATGCCCTGGTGTCGCTTCGGGGAGGAGGAGGTGAAGGGGGTGTCTGGAGAGGAGGCTGGATGATTTGCCCTGGGAATGAGACTGCTCAATCAGAAAGAGGGGCCCTACCCCAGTGTCTCGTCCACTCTGAACAGTGCGGATTCCTCGTGTCTGCCTTTGCACGGGAAGGGTTCTGAGGATCTCAGGGGTTTTATGCTCGTCACACGCATGGATCAGAGAGGCAGCGCTGGGACAGCCGGGTGGGATTCGGAAGGGTGGGAAGGTGAGGGAGCTGCCCTCAGAACCAGAAGCTTCCAGAAAAAAGGAGCATCTTCCAGAGAGCCCTGGGGCAATTCCAGCAGCCAGGAAGCCTTGTGACACCCCAGGAGCGGACTCTGAGCAGGGCCTGAGCCCCGGATGGACCACAGCACTGTCAGGTTACACACTGAAGCCTCTCTGACAGAGTCACCTGCAAGCGATGCAATGATGACACAGGAGGAGATCCAGGTCTGCCTCCATTTACCCAAACCTGATCGTTAAAGCAATCCGCACCGTCCCCCACAGTTACATCCTCCTCATGACAGGAGTGTGTGCCGGATTCCTCTAGATTTTCTCCCTCAACATTTCTCCTTCACATATCGATGGGGAATGAAGGAGGGCCTCAGCTTTAATTTATACTCCCTTGAGGATCTGGGTTGCAAAAATACCACCTGACGTCCAAAAACTTGTTTTAAAAACAATTCTTGGTGCCAAGCAGGTGGGCTTCACCTCAGATTTGAACGGGGGGACAGGCAGCTCCCCTCCTGCCCCTTCTCTCTGGGAGAACCTGGCCCTGTCATAGGCCTGAGGGGTAGTTGGGCTGTGGCTGGCTCTGCCCAGGCCAGAAGCACCCGGCAGAAGGACAGCTCCTCATCTGGGGGGGAGGCGGGACATTGGGCGGTCAAGGCTATGGGTTCAGAGCCCAGCCGAACTTGGGTTCCAGTCCCTGCTCCATCACTTAACTGTGGAGCCCTGGGAGTGTTACTAGATCTCTCTGAGGCTGTCTCCTCTTCTTTGCAAATGGTTCCTCCCAGTGGGCTGGTGTGAGCCTGAATGAGATAGTGTACAAAATGTGAGCGCAGTGCCTAACAGATTATTCGTGCTCAGTAATTAAGAGGGCTGGTTATTGTCACCATCATTATTACATCATATCATCATCATCATCATCGCTCTCTCTCTCTCTCTGCCCCACTTTACTTCCCTTCACCAAGAGTTTGGGCTTTGAGCTTGAATCCAGTGTGTCACTTGCAAATCGTGGCAAGCACCTGTACCCATAGGGGAGCGCCACCGGGAGGCCGGCGGCCCTTTACTTTCTTGTCAGGGGTCGCTCTGAGTCCTGACGCTCAGGGCTGGTCCCAACCGCCCTCTTTGCAGATAGGGAGAGTTGGCCAGAGTGCAAGGGGCTGGAGCAAGGTTGCCACGCAGTGGCGGTGCCAGGGGTGAAGCAGGGCCCCAACTTGCAGTGCGGGGCTCCAGGCACAAGCGATGCAGTGCCTTGCACGTGGCACCTGGCTGCCTGCCGCTCCCCAGACAGGCAAACCTGGCTCTCTCAGCCTGGGGTAGGGTGTGTGTTAAACGTGGGAGGGGACAGGGCCAGCTCCGGGCCAGTGGAGGGCTGGGCACAAGCTGCCGCCTGATGCCCAGCCCTTCTTCCCTCCCTTTCTCCCCCAGAGGGGGCGCCTCACTGAGTCTTCTGCATTTCTTTTCTCACAG